GGGGGGAGAGCGCGCGCGGGCGAGACAGCGAGGGGGGGAGAGCGCGCGCGGGCGAGACAGCGTGGGGGAGACAGCGAGGGGGAGAGCACGTGTGAGCGAGACAGCGACGGAGAGGGAGCGCGAGCGAGACAGCGAGAGGGTCAGAGAGAGACAGCGAACGTGCAAGAGACACAGAGTAAGACAGAGAGAGAGCGAGCGTGCGAGAGGGAGACACAGAGAATGAGCGAGCGTGTGAGGGAGCGACACCCTTACCCCTGTGTGGTGGAGGCCGTCACACTGACCACCATGATGGTGGCGTTTGTGAGGATCTGCTGAAGGTTCTCGTTATTCTTGCAGCGATCAAGGTTGTTGCCAAGTTCCTGCAGGTCAGAGGGGAGGACATCCAATCAGGCATTTTCACCAGGTATAGGAACGGGCGCGACGAGCGAATGGCCTAACTAAACTCGCTGAAGCCGCCGGGGGGCGCGGACAAGCCCGTCGGCTTTGAGCGGAAATCTCATGATGGTGGGAGGTTTAAAAGCTCTGGGGCCTTCCGTAGCCCCGCCTGGGCGCGCACAGCAGCCATTTTGCTAACGGCTCGCGGCCAACCGCGCGGACTCCACCCGGGAGAGGGGTGGGGGAGCAGAGAAGATGCCCTGGTGTATGCGAACAGGGGTCTCCCCCCATCACCCCCTGAACCCCCAGAGGATTACTGTTTAGTGCCAGGGCGGGCAACAGCGAAGTAGTCCCAAATGCACGGTGGTGCTGGGGGCGAAGAGGGACATTTTAAGGAAGACAGACATAGGTTGAGGGAAGGAACTCCAAAAACAATTCCCATGAGGCAGACAAAAGGCACAGCGACGGAGATTTGTTGGGGGTGGGTGAAATGTGACGGCGGAGATGTAACCAGACAGATAATCCCGAATACTGTTCCAGGGTCACGGGGTCAAACCCCGCCATGGGCAAATATTGAACAGGAGGGTGAGAATTGTAGGGGCCTGGAGGAGGTGACGGAGATAGGGAGGGAGGGGATT